CCTCCCTGCTCCCTGCTCCCTGCTCCCTCCTCCCTCCTCCCTGCTCCCTCCTCCTCGTGTCCCTGCCCCTGGCAGACCTCGGACTCTGCCAGGCCAGGCCTGGGCGGACCGGCCTCGCCTCACCGGCAGGCGCGCGGCCCCAGGCGCCCGGGCGCCCCGACAGAGATGGAGGCGGCCGGCTCGTCGGGGACGAGTATCGTTTATTGGCGGCGCGCACAGGGGGGGTATGGGGAGGGGGGAAGGCTTCTTAGAAGCACCCCTGCTTCTCAGAAGGCGCGGGCCTTCTTTGTAGATGTGAGGCCGGCGCCTTCTAAGAAGCAGCCTCCTTCTAAGAAGCCTTCCCCCTTCCCCCCCCATACCCCCTTGTGCGCGCCGCCAAGTTTAACGGATCCCCATTCCCAGCGGCGTGGCCTGGGCCCCACTAGCCGATTTACCCCCCCTAGATTGGGATATAGGTCGTTCCCTTCGGGTTTCGAGGGGGGCGTATCCCCAACCAACTGGGGGGGTGACTTGGTGGGGGTCTCGAAAGGGATGGGGAAGGGGATGGGGATCGGTTAAACGATACCGAGGGGATGGATTGATCCTGGTCAGTCGGGCTGCGCAGGATCATGCAAGATCCTGCAAGATCCTGCGCCCCAGCCTCGGTCGATGCGCCCCTGGCCCTGCAGGATCCAGGAAGAACTGGCGCTCTGGGTGAGCCCCGTTTGCACTGACCTCCATCTCAAAGCTCCCGATTGTCGTCATTCCTGGCCTCCAGGAAACGTCAGAGAGCAGCTCACAGAAGCTTTCAGTCGTCCCCTATGGCGCCCACTGGCGCGTCTAATGGTGCACAAAAGCGGACGCAATGAATCTCCCTCACATGGCGCCATTGGGCGCCATTTGGGCGCGACTGGGCCGCATTGGGCGCTATTTGGGCGCTATTGGGCGTTAGTGGGCACTGTTGGACGCGATTCGTCGATATACATTACTGCAAGACGAGCGGAGGCTTCAGTGACTTACCGTCTAAAAAATGCTCAGAGTGGAAGGGAAGGCGCCTTACTTCAAGCTCTGGCAATTTCCGATAAATCCGCGCGGGCCTTCAGAAAGCATATGTTTGTGCAGCTTACTTTTCTTCAACCCAGTCCCTCACCCCTTCTCGGAAGACCCCGCTCCGCAGTGCATTGAGCAAAACATGATGCGATTGGCTCAAGATGGCGTCCTAACAATTCCGGCGCATCTAGCGGCCCTCGATTCTGGAGGACTCGAACAATCATCGGAAATCTCGGAAATCCAGGGATTCATGCAACGCCGGAAGTTGGAGAACCATGTGGGATCTGCTCTGGAACAAGAACCTACCGTTCACGGATCGACCCTGTCTCCTTCCTTGTACTGCGTCGACCGGCATTCCGCGCTGTCGAAAGACGAATCCACCCCGAATGAGTCTACATGCCTAACGGCACCCCATGTGTCCACAGCCGCACATGGCTGGAAAGCGAGAACGGTGCGTGGCATATAGGCCCCAGATGTGGCATTCTTGTTTGATTGCCCGGCGATCGCCTGGGCTATATCCGATGGGGGGGGAGGGGGGGAGGTACCGGACGAGAATCCAAACCTTGTCGCTTTGGGCAACCCCGCGCAGTATGCCCGCGCGCACCAGTACTGCGCACCCCTTGCGGACCTGCGCGCCCGACAGGACCAGGCCCCCCAACCCAGCACGTGCAGCGCAGCGGCGGCGCACGGCGGCGGCGGCGGCGGGGCGGCGGGGCGGGGGCGGGGGGCGCACGTCGGCCGCCCGAGAGGAGGGCCGTCTTGCCGTCTGGCCGTAGTAGAAGGCCAGGTCGGTCTTCCCGGAGGCGTCGGGCGCGCTGAAGAACTTCTGCGAGGGTCGCAGAACACTCTTTGATCCGCGGGTCGAGAGCGCACCTCTTTTTCGGTCGAAGCTGAGCGGGCCGCGCACAGCTTTCATTGACAGAGGGGGAAGGCAGAAGGAGGAGGGTAGCAGAACACCCGACGCTGCAAAAAAACTTAATGTCTCCGAGGTCCGCGCGGAGCGCCGGAAGTTTATGTTCATGCCATGCTTTGTTCTTCGAGAGGGGAGGCCGGGCTCGTCATGATGCACGCGAGAGGCCCACCCTGAGATCCGACGTTGCCAAAACATCGAAGCAGAGCGGACAATCACGACAGGGGCCCTCGATCCCCCATCTTGCTGCGGCACTGTTCGAGCCGCATCGATCCGCGACGGCCCGCGGGCCCGAATCCGGGCGAAGCCATCCGTTGCGAAAACATGCGACGCCAGAAACTCCCCATCCCCCCCCCCCTCCACAATTACTCAATAGGCGCCCGGGCTGCACGCCGGAGTCGGCGCCCGGGCTGGCGCTCGGGCCGGGTCCGGAGCTGGTTCCGGCCGGCGCCGGAAAATCGAGTTCCGAGGCGGCGCCGAAAAAAAACCATTCCAATATTTTTTTTTATTTTGAAAATGATGAATTTCAGCTTCCGGCGCCTGGGGGGCTTCCGGGCCGATTCCGACGCCCAGGCCGGCGCCCGAGCCGGCGCCCTGACCAGACGCTCGAGCCGGCGCCCGGGCCGGCGCCCGGGCCGGGTCCGGAGCCAGTTCCGGCCGGCGCCAGAAAATCGAGTTCCGAGGCGGCGCCGAAAAAAGGCCATTCCAATACAATTTTTTGCTTTGAAAATGCTGAATTTCTGCTTCTGGCGCCCGAGGAAGCCTTCCCCGGAGTTAGGCTTTCGCTTGCAATTTGACCCAAAATGCTGCTCTCGCTGAGGCGCCGGCCTCATTTTCGGGCCCCGTTCGTTCCGAATCGTGCTCTCGCTGCAGCGCTGGCCTCATTTCCGTGCTTCCGCTCGTTCCGAATCGTGCTCCCGCTGCAGCGCTGCCCTCTTTTCCGCGCTTCCGCTCGTTTCGACTCGTGCTCCTGCTGCAGCGCTGGCGTCATTTCCCGTGCCATGCCACGGCATGCAATGCAATGCTAGGTTGGTACTACGCTTCGCGGTGCTCTTCTACACCAGCCATGCCACGCCGTGCTCTACAATGCATCGCGTACCCTTTCGGGATCATCGCCCTGCTTGACATCCGACTGCGCGAGTAGAGAGGGGATCTGCGCCATGGTAAGGGATGGGAGGGAGGGGTAGGATGTCAGATATGACGCGAGCGCACCTAGCTTGCCCCCCCCCCCCCTCTTGCCCTCTCTCCCCCCCTCCCCCTCCCCCCCCCCTCCCCCTCCCCCTCCCCCCTCCCCTGCATCCTCTTGCCCTCTCCCCCACCCCCCTCCCCCTCCCGCCCTCCCTGGCGGCGCCGCCCATCGAGGGCGAGCGGGGCGCGGCCCTCCGAGGAGGCGGAGGCCGCAGGGGGCTCCTCGGAAGGCCGACCCCCTCGCACCACCCCCCGACGGGGCGCCCCCGGCCTCCCCCCGCCGCCCCCACCGGCAGCAGCGCCTGTGCGCAGCCAGCCGAGGCGGGCGCCAGAAGCGCGTGCCGAGCCCCCGCGTGGTTGAGAAGCTTCGGCGGCTACCTACCAGACCACACAAACCCAACCCGAAGGCCCGAATTTTTCGGGTTGGGGGGGGGGTATGCGCTCCGTGTGCTTTTTTTCGATGTTCCCAGGCCCCCCCACACCAGAGATGGAGGGCAAATTGAGGTCTTCGGGTTGGGTTGGGGTGGTTTGGTGGGTGGTGCTTCGGGCGCCGGAGCTCAGGGGTGGTCCAGGACAGGGCCAAGGTCTCCGATCCGATGTGGCTGTGCGCTGAAGAGCTTCTGCGGGGGGGGGGGGGCGCCCAGCGTGGTACTAGACGTGCCCCTCTTCTGTGCATCACCCTCTGCCAGGCGAGGCCCCTCCCCAAGCTACTAAATTCAGAATCCTTGCTACTAGATGTGCCCCTCTGCTGTGCGCAACCCTCTGCTAGACGAGGCCCCTCCCAAAGCTGATTTGACAAGTACCATTGGTACTAGACGTGCCCTCTGCTGTGCGTCGCCGTCTCGAACAAAGGTCGAAACGGACTTCTTCGTCACTGTCGGCATCCAAGGGCCACCGGCAGGCCCCAGGACTGTCATCAAAAATCGGTCCAGAACGAACAACAGGCCGTGGGAAAAGGGTCGGGGCAGCCAAAAACCAAGGACGCGTCTGGGAGAACAAGGTAAGATCCCAAGCCTCCGACGATGTGGTTGTGGTCGATCGCTTCGGTTTCCTTCACTTCGGCCTCCTGGGTCTGCTTTCGGGCCCCAGGAAAAGAAGCTGTTTCCGGGGCGCGCAAGCATACCCGTAGAATGGCTCGGGAGCTCTGGGGCTCGCGATGGAAAAACATGTTATTGCGTGAAAAATTGCAGGCTCAAGTTATCACAGGTAAAGGCATGCGTGTGGGCGAGAGCAGCAATCAGGAAGAAAGGTCACATGACCACTGTACGACAGGACGCCCTGAATCTGGCTCGCAGTGCTCGAAAATCCCTTCTCCACAGCGCGGGCGGCGCGAGTCAGAGACATGCGATATCAATCTGAGTTTAAAGGCTAAACGCAATACCGCAGGCTGGGCACCTGGAGCCGGCCACATAGCGTCGAATTTCCAAGCGCGCGCCATGGTCCATTCGTTGGTGGCTTCGGAGCGCTTTCTCGGAGAGGAACGCGTCGCCACACTGACATACGATCGACTCGCGCCCCGGAGTGGGGTCAGGAGCAACGCGGGCGTCGCACACCGAGTCGCAGAAAAACAATCGGTCGACGAGCGAATTTCAACCGCTTCCGTCGAGCATCATGCGCATCCATGCTTTGGGACCCTCGTTGACCGCGGGCAGGTCCAGACAACACTGCTGCCGAGGCAAACCAGCGTCGCACTCGAGCGCAAGAACCACCGGAGTTTCTGCCCACCAGAGCGCGCATGCAGAAGCGCGATCAGAGCCCGAGGGCGCTCTCGAGCAAGATGTCCGCAGTACTTCAAGCGCACTCTGGCTATAAAACATTCGATCGCAGGCTGGAGCAAAGCAGATCGCACCTTCCCGTCGCCGTGTTCGACTCGACAGGATCGAGGCTCGTCGACAACGCAACGAAGTATGGTCATCTAGGCATGTTGAGCCTCTTCAGATGCCGTTGAGAGAGCGTTAACACGCACACTCCATACAAAAGCGTCGAAAGGAGGCACTGCATGAAATATAGCTTGTGGGCCTGCACCACGAGGGCCGATGCAAAGATTTTGTAAGGCAACGGCGCGTATGCAGACATGGTTTTGGCAGCGCTGCAAGTGGCATCAGCTACAGTCATCAGCCTGCCCTAAGGAACGATAATAAGGAACGAAGCCCTTTTTTCTATCCCAAGGAATAACGCATAAGGAACGATAAGTAAGACATAACGCATGAGGAACTGTAAATAACGCATGCAAGCCTAAGGAACGACCGAGCCCCTTTTGAAAAGCAAGTGTTCCTTATTCAAGCCGCTCACTGTAAGCGGAATAGCGCATAAGGAACGATAAGTAATAACAAACGCATAAGGAACTGTAAATAACGCATGCAAGCCTAAGGAACGACCGAGCCCCTTTTGAAAAGCAAGTGTTCCTTATTCAAGCCGCTCACTGTAAGCTGCGAGCGCACAACGAAGAGGTGGTGCCGAGATGCTTGTACGAAGTTACCACGCGGATGCGCGCGTCACGGCGAGGCACCTGCACAAAGAGCTGCCCAGAGGCGTCGCGACGAGCTTCGCGGTACGCCTTTGCTCCAGTGCCCCAGTACATGAGCAACGACTCTTTTTTTCCGAGGCGAAGCGTTGATCTGCAAATGAAGGTTTTCAAATGAATACTACGACTGCCAAGCTGCCAACGCTTCATCGTCAATGAATGCGCTGGACCCCAGGCCTCCGACGATGTGGTTGTGGTCGATCGCGGCTGTTCCTTCGCTTCGGCCTCCTGGGTCTGCTTTCAGGCCCAGGAAAATAGAACAGCTGCCCGGAGGTGCAAAAGCACCCTCGACGAGAGAGGGTCGGGATCTCTGGGGCTCGTGACGGAAAAAAAGATATCCACCCCGCGGCCTCGCGGGCCAAGCCTCTGGCCGCGACCCCGCGGCTACGAGGCGCCTTCTCGCAGATGCTCCGCGCAATACGTATCCGTGCGACCGCGTATCCGCGGGATGGCGCCCCGCGAATGCAGACCGCGAAGGCGTGGACGTGGATGTATGTCTGCCGCCCGTGACGGGGCCGCAGATTGAGGCGCGAGGCCCCCTCTGGATAATTACGGCCAGTGCGCTCCCTGCTCCACCGCACCCTTCGCCGCCCTGACACGCAGCATGCAGCCCGTAGCGTGTTGCCACGGAGCTCAACACGTGGACTGAAAGCGTAGGTTTAGGTCGGGCCTGTCCCCCTACAGGCGGATTTTGGACGAAAAATAAAAAATACCCTAAAAATAATCAAGACTATAACACAAAGTAATAAGAACATGGTCCCCAGACTATTTTTAAAACTATTTTTGAAACCCCTCCTGTAGAGGGACAGGCCCGACGTAAACGTAGGTCTGGGCGCGACACGCTCGCCAAAGCGTGGCCCAGCACGCGCCGAGCACAGCACGCAGCGTGCTGACAGTGGCCGTTCCGAACACTTTTTTGCTTCGCGGGTCGAGAGCGCACCTCTTCTGGTCGAAGCTGAGCGGGCCGCGCGAAGCTTGAACTGGGCAGAGGAGAAGAGGAGGGAAGGGCCTTTCTGAACACGGTGCGTGCAATTCGTCTCAAGACGGGCGCATCGAGGCAGCTGGGGCACGGGTGGGGGCATGACGCAGGAAGGCGTTGAGCGTAGATTGGGTTTCCGCCCGCCCCGCAAGGACGAGGCGAGAGGGATAAGCGATCGACCCTGGAAGTAGGAAGGCGCCCGAAAGAGATGGTGATCTGGGTGTCCAATATCTGTACATGTATAAAAAAAACACTTTCGAAGACCAGCGTGTACATACTGATCGGCGTCTGAGCCCCCTCGGCCACCAAACGGGCCCACGGTCGAGCCCACGCTGCGTCGTGGCCTTCGTCGCGTCGCCGCCGCCACGCGGAAAGACTCCCTTCTCAAGATCAATCCCCAAGGAGCCTGCTTTTTGTCATTCGCGATAGCGGGCGTGATCGGGGGAGGGGGGGGGGGAGATCGCCCCCCCCCCCCCCCGATCACGTCACGGCGCGGCGCCGCCCCAGAGGTCTTCGGAAGAGGCTCGAGGAATCCGCAGGCAGTCCTGGCACATGCCAGTCAGCACAATAGCCTGACGCGATCTGGGGGGGCGGGGGGGAGAGAGAGCCGATCACGGCCGCTACCTGGCGGCGCGCACAGGCGGGGCGGAGGGAGGGGGCAGGACCTCTTGGGAGGCTGCTTCTTCGAAGGCGCCGGTCTTACAGCTATAGATGAGGCCCGCGCTTCTAAGAAGCCCTCCCCCCTCCCCCCACCCCCCTCTGCGCGTGGCTGAAATCATCACCCAGACCGTAAAAGGCAAGCTCCTGGACCCCCCCCCCCCCAGGGCGGCGATTTTCGGAGGCCAGGTCGGTCTTCCGGGGAAGCGCCTGGGGGCGCTGAGGCACCTCTCCTGCGAAGACAAGACGGGACAAGAGGTCCGAACGCCGGCCCTGGTGACGGGAGCGGCCCCTTGGAGGGGAGACCGTGCACCGAGCAAATGGCAATCGGGTGCTACAACCCTGGTCAACCCTAACCTCACAGATGTCTTACCTGGCTCAACTGGTTGTGGGGAGATGCTGGACAAAGTAGCGGTGACTGCGATGTACTTGTACGCGCCGCCCCTCCAATGTCGGTCATCATCGAACTTCCAAATCGTTCCCGGTCAGACCACTTTTGCCCTGGTCCCGACATTGGAGGGGCGTCTATCGACATTGAAGGGCGCGCCGACATCGCAGGGGCGTGGTCGCCATTTTGAGGTCAATGTTGACGAGGGCAGTAGTGAGACGTGGACACGCGGAGGCCAGCTCACGGCAGCCAGCGGTCCCTCTACACAGGCACTCTCTGATATCATTCCTCTCAATTCGTGGTCCGAGGAGGAGGAGGAGGAGGAGGAGTAAAGCTCCCGACCCCTTTTCCCAGGGTGCGTGGTAGGTGTGCGCCGCGCCCCTGATCAGTTTGCGATTGCCACGGGGCCCGAGGGCGGCCCACTGGAAGTCGAAGTGGGGGAAGAGACCCGCCGTGGAACAAATCATGCCTTCTCCTCCCCTTCCTCTTCCTCCTCCTCCTCGTCCTCCTCCTCCTCCTCGTCCTCGTCCTCCTCCTCCTAACCCTCCTCCTCCTCCTCCTCCTTCTCCTGTACGAGGTCTGGGTGCCTTCGCTGGGGCCCTCCTGCCTCAGAACTGCTGCGAAAGGGCAGCGTTTTTTGGCCGGAGTTCGGGGGCACCGAGATCGCTTCCCGAGGTCAGACCGTGCGGAAACAGCAGACACATCATTCGGAGGAGATGGGTGGACGCATGAAGCAGGAAGACATTGACAGTACATTTGGTGTCCGCCCGCCCCTTGACAAGGAAACCATTCGGCCCCTGAAATAGGAGGCCGCCAAACATACACTGGAACCGGCGAGCCCCACGATACATACATTCAGCGAACGATGGGTACACACACAATGTCGATTCCGAAACCGCTGAAAACGTGCGTCGTCAGAACCACTTCGTAGCCGAAACGAACTTGCAACATGAGGGTTTGATTTCCTTGTTGCCACGTTTCGAACAATGACGCCCCACGTCGACCACCGCCGCAGGGAGCAGAGGAGGACGAGGACGCGCCCTCTCTGGTGGGTCCTGGTGGAAATTGACGAACTCCCCGAAGCTGATGGAACCGTTGCCGTCAGTGTCTGCGGCGCGCCACCACCCCTGCGGAGGCAGGAATACTTGCGATCATTCCGTCCGATCCGGATAAAGAAAACGGCGACAACCGACGAGGGGGCAGGGGAGGAAAGAGAGTGAGGATGCGCAGGACGAGGCGGAAGGAAAGGAGGAGAGGAGTAGGGAGACGAGGGAAAAGGGAGGGGGAACACCGATCTTGCTTTGCTTTGGGTGCGGTGCCAGTGCGGTGGCACACGCGTCAACAAGCAGCCATTCATCTGACCCGCCAACGAGCGAGCCAGCCGGTCAGCCAACCAGCCAACCATCCAGCCGAACAGCCAGCTTACCGACGTGCGAGCAAGTCGGACGCCCAATCGCCGAGCAGACTGGTCAACCGAGTACGAAGCAGCCAGCCAGCCAGGCAACAACAGGGGACAACCGTAGAGGGCGAACGATTTCATGTTACCCGATGCCACGCCAGCGGAGGGCCAAACCTCTCTGCCCCCATCCAAGAGTCTCGCCTGGCCGTATCGTAATCCTCCTCCTCCTCCTCCTTCTCGCTGGAAGCACAAGAACGATTATCAGCATTTCTTCTCTCTCTCTCTCGTAAGCGGGGGGTATCACGGCTCCCCTGAACAGCACTCTCAGCCGCCGTTCACCCACATTCGAATGATGTTTATCCCTTCCCCCTTCACTGGGTATGTTATTACAGTTTTCGGATTGCTCGTATCTAAGTTTGGATGTGTTTGAATGTTTTTCGTGTTTATCAGCGTCGCTGTTGTTTGTCCCGCGTGGCTGCACGTAGAACAACCGCAAACTTTAGGTGGCGACGTCCGAACGGCCGATTATTTGGAATCGATGGGAGGCGAGGGTAGAGCTCGGATTTCGCCACGTGTTCGACGAACCCAACCCCGCCGCCCATCGAGTTGCCTGAATCGTTGAGCGGCGAGGGTAGAGATCGGATATCGCCGCCGATCTTTGGAGTGTGGTCGCGGCGTACTCTCTTCTTCCAAAGTCCTGTTGCTGTCAGGGGGAAGTAGTGGCCGGAGCTGTGCCCGAAAATCTGCCCGAGCGTGACCGAAACGGGCGCCCGAGTTTTTCCGAAGGCGCCCGGGTGTGACCGTTTTTGTTTCGAAGTCAATGCGATGTTCAATATCGGTCAATGCGATGTTTTCGTTCGCACTACGTTTTCGGACACGATTTCAAGTACAATTTCAGTCACCTCGTCTTTCCGGTCACCGACCCTTTTTACTGATAGGGGCTGGGCGCCATGATTTGTCAAATGTTTTGCCTTTGTTTTGCTTCTGGATGCCATTTTTGTTCCCCCCTTGCAGGGCAGTGCGGTCCCCCCCTTTCTGTCTGGTTTCGGGAGTTGCTGCTTACTCGCTGAGAAAGTTATTCATCTTGAGCACTGACGATTAGGGCGTCTCAGAGCGGGGCTCCCGTTCTCCCCGTAGACTCCTTCCACGCAGTTCGGACTATCTTCCATAATGAAATCTCAAATAAAAATCATAAATAAAAATCACTCCCATACGACTACTTACCACAGCGCCCAGACATGTCATCTTTAGCCCAGATGAACAAACTTTCGCAGCGGGAATGTAGAAGTGCCCCTTGCCCGAGGTGACCACAGGATTTCTAAGGAGGCCCCAGAAGTTTCCAGAGCACCCCTCACGAGACCCAGGGAGCCCCCAGCGGCTCCAGAATGGAGTGAAACGCTCGGGGCACCTTGGGCCAGGGGCACCGTAGCACCCCCCAAGCTTGTCCCCTCCCGCCCCCCAGAAAGCTTTTGTCTCTCCTCGGGGGGGGGGCGGGAGATGCCAGCGAAGGGGGGGGGGGCAGGGAGGCGCCAGAGCGTACTGGCCCGGCGCTGCCAGCGCCTCGCCAGCACGCGACAGACTGACGAAAACCGACAGTGGGCAAACATGATGGAGCGATGTGCTGGAATCGAGCGTCTGTTTTTTTTCGCATGTTTCATCCACACTTGATTTTCGGTGGTTCACAAAAGTGCGAGTGAAAGCTCGATTTTGTGGTAGGCCACATGTGATTGCCGCTGGTTGAATGAAAAAGATTAATTGACAGCAGACTTTCGTGCATTATAGTCGGTATTTCGTTTCCGTTTGTTCACCGTTCTATGATTTTCGTCGCCAGTCTGGCGTCGTGTTTTTTCATGGGTTCGCGTACCTTTACATGGTCTTCAAAAAAATCAGGTCGTCGAAATTCGATTTCCCTGCAATGGCAACAAGATGTGCGCTGGGAGCGAGCCAGCAAACTCCGGCGCCTCCTGGGCCCCGCTCCCTGGGGGGATCCTCCCCGCCCACCCCCCGCCCCATGGCGCATCCACCATCTTTCCCTACCCCCCCCCTCCGTGCCATCCTGGAGGAGAGAAGAACAGCATCGGAAGACACAAACCAAACTCCAGGGGGGGGGGGGAGTCTCCGGGGAAAAACGAAGAGCCTGGGGGGGGAAATCAAGGCCCCTGGAAGAAAACAAGCAGCACGGGTACCCGCCATGCGACGGGGGAGAAGTCTCTGGAGGAATATTAACTCCGACACCTCCCCCGCGGACACCCGCGAGGGGACTTTGACCTTCATGGTAAGAAATCATTGAACCAGATAAAATCCACGCTGGCCCGTAACGCGGTCTGTTGGAGACAACGAAACTGCGGCCCAGGCGGGCGGGGCGCCGTGCAGGCGATCTGTGCGAGCGCCTGGGTGGACTTACTCGAGGTTCGAGGTTCGAGTTCGAGGTTCGAACTTCGAGCTTCGAGGTGCTCGGTGCTCGAGGTGCTCGAGATCCGAGGTGCGCGAGGTGCTGGGACTCGAGGGGGTTCTCGTCGCGACGGCAGGGTCCGCCTCGAAGCTCTCGTCAGAGCGCCACGAAGAAGACTGTTGACCCCTGGACCCCAGCCTTCTCGACGTCAGCGCTGTTCGCAGACGCGACAGCGTCGGGCCCATACGTGCGGCCCGAATCGGGACAAACTCTCCAGGTATTCCCAGTGAGCGCGCGGACAACGGCGTCCCGAGTACGAGGCAAGGCGGCCGAATGTTTGCCGTACGCCCACGTGTTCGAACACTTCTGGGCGCCCCGCAGGGAAGCACAAACACATACGACTTGCACGCGCTGATGTTGCCAACACAGGGCGCTCATCACACTCGGACAGAAGACTGGCCAATCCTTAAAGGCAACCCGCGACATGAACACTGATCGGCTTGGGCTTGGCATGTATACGCTGGCCGCCTCTCCCACCCACGATTTTGCGCGTCGCCGACCAGGCTCAAGGAGGAGATACGGACCACGGAGACGCGTTCACTCCACCCGCCCTTCAGAAACTAAGCATCGACCTCTCATTCGCCGATACAACCATGGAGCGTTCGCAGAGGGATGCATCCTGCATGCGCTGGGCAGGAATTGCACCCGGCTTCAGCTTCGTCAGGGAGTACATCAGGGCCGAGAACTCCTCGAACAAGCGGGACAGGGAACGAGAAACGAACGTGCGAGATCGTGCCAACAAGACGCGCGAGGCTCTCTCCGCACAGAGAGCATTCGTGTTGGCCGGCGGTTGCCGTTGCGGACAGCCTGGCCGTGCCAGCAAAACGTCTGCAGAGACAGAACGTGTGGCGCTAGTTTGGGCCAGATGGATGCACCCCAACGAGCCACTCGCACTGCACAAGCGATGGAAGCTTACGCGACATGTGCAAAAACTGAAGCTGCGTGGTGAGCACATGCATAGGTAAAACAACGGTTGGTGCCATTCGTAAGCCAGCCATTGGCACCATGATGGTAAACATCACAAGAAGAAGTTAGATCCACTGCTGCACCTTTTAGTCCCCCGGCTCTTGGCTACGCATGACCGTACAGAGGGAGAGAGAGAGAGAGAGAGAGAAAAAAAAAAGGAATGAACAAGAGAGCGAGAGAGATAGAGAGAAGGAGTGATATCTATATACATATATAGAGAGATATACATATGTGTATCTCTATAGAGATATATATATAGAGAGAGAGAGAGAGAGCAGAGAGGGAGAGAGAGAGAGAGAGAGAGAAAAAAAAAAAACGAGAACACAAAGGCAGAGAGAGAGAGAGAGAGAAGCAGTGGTATTGCCTGTAATAGCCCATGCAGCGCATGCGGGCCGAAGACGCATAGACTATAAAGATATCAATACCTGCTGTCTAGCAAGCATCTCACTTCATGGCAACTCCAACATACGCTACAGGGAGCACATTTGAGTGATTTGAGTCGATGGCACAAGGAAATATCAGAAACCGCTGTGATGAGAACATTGTGCATGAGGACAACTTCCATCCACGCGACCACTCTGCACACGCGAATCTCGGATTGCCTCTGCGAGTTGTAGCAATATGTAAGGCATGCGTCCTGTCTGTCGATTTCGCCAGATTGATCGCCATCAAAAGTCTTGAACTTATCTCTGTAATTCTCGATGTCCTGCCCCGCAGAGCAAGGCATGCCAATGTAGCATCGCAAGAAGAGAAATACAGAGGGAGAGGCAGGGAGAGAGATTGAGACATATAGACCGAGCGGGGGTGGGAGATCGAGAGAGAGTGAGAGAGAAGAGAGAGAGAGAGAGAGAGAGAGAAAAAAAAAGAGAAGAGAGAGAGAGAGAGGAGAGAGGAGAGAGAACAGCGAGGGAACAATCCGTCGGACGAGACGCGTGGATTCATACCCAAACGTGTCCTGTGCACGTGCTGGAGTAAAACCACACTGAGTAGAAACTACGATCTGGTACGCAGATCATGCGTCAGCGCAGCGACTCGTGAGTCCAATGGAAGCAAGGGTGGGGGATCCCTGGATGGAGTGGTCCTCGCACCCAGAGTGGGGCCCAACACTTCTTCGGAATAGAAAGCACGAAAACGGGGATGAGGAGGACGACGACGATGACAAACTCGCAAGCAGACGGTGCATTGACACGCCTTCACCTCCTGGTTGGATCCACTCCAATCCGCGCGCCTACTCCAGCCCTTTGTCTGCCAGGATTCCCCGTCCTCCTGGTCCTCGCCTTCATCTCCTCCTGACCCTCTTCGTCCTCCTCGCCCCTCCCCCGTATCCGTTTCTCTCTCCTGCAATTCCTGCTCCTCCTGCCACCTCCACCTACCGTCTGGTCCTGCTCCATCTTCTTGCTTCATCCCAAACCATACATTTCCTAATCGCAATCGTGCCCCCTGGCACTTGCATTGGCTTCGCATTGCTTGGCATTGGCTTTGCATTGCTTGGCGTTGCTTAGCGTTGCTTGGAATCGATGCTTGGTATTGCTTGGCATTGGCTTGGCATTGCTTCGCACTGCCTGGCGCTGCTTGACGCTGCTTTGAACCGCTGTTTGACACTGCTTTGCACCGTGGCTTGGCATTGCTTGGCGCTGCTTGCCATGATCTGGCATTGTTTGTCATTGACTCGCGCTGCCTGGAACTGCTTGGCATCGCTTGGTGTGCCTTTGATGCCTTGGCACTGCGTGGCGCTGCCTGGCGCTGCTCGGCACTCGCGCTGCACGGGCAGCCCCGTGCCGCCCCGAGCCACGCCGGGGGCAGCGCGGGCAACCCCCAGGAACGCACTCCTGGAAGCCTGGACATGGGCACTCACACCGAGACAGGGGGCTGCCTCCAAGGGGGGAGATGATCCTTGATCTCGGTGCCGGTGGTGATGGTTCGGCCACCTCGGAAGCCAGAACATTACCACCATCACCGAGATCGAGTTCTTCCTCCCTCGTTGGAGGCACACCGCCGATATCGGTGTTGGTGTCAACCTCTAGGCCTGCGACCCCGCACCTCCCGGCCTCTTTCACAAACAGGCGGCGGCGAGCGAGGGGGCCTTGTCAGAAGGCGGCGGGGCTTCTCGGAAGCCCTCGGGCCTTCTGGGAGGTGGTCCGCGTCTTCGGGGAAGGCACCGAGCACTTCTCAGAAGGCGGGGGGCTTCCGAGCCTTCTGGGAAGGCCCGCCCCTTCTCTCACTTCCTCCCCAGGCGCGCCGCCGAAGCAGGCAAGAACCCCTGAGGCACAGCCTAAGCGGGAAAAGCCATGGCGCTGGAGATTCTGGGGAGCTCGGGCCTCCCAAGTCCGCGCTTCGCGCGGGGCGTCGTCACCCCTGCACGACCTCCCGCGCCAAGCCCCTGGCGGAGAAGGGCTCTCTGGGGCGGGCCGCGCTGCGAGATTGGAGACACATGGAGGGAAGAACACGGGGACCATGAACAAGACTGAACGCGGAAACCTCGCGTCGATCCTGGTCACCGTCCATCTGGGTCAGCGTCACTTCGCGGATCATCCTCGCGAATCGGCGACGGCTGACATGGACCATGACCAAGATCGCATCGACAAAACCTCGCGACATCTTGGTCATGGTCCCGACATCTCCTGCCCCGAGAACGGTCGACGACGTAAGCACAGAGACTCCTGGGAGGTCCGCGAGTAATTCTTGGATCGGCGCTGGGCCCCCTCATTGGCGACATCTTGGTCATGGTCCCAACATCTTCTGCCCCGAGAACGGTCGACGACGTAAGCACAGAGACTCCTGGGAGGTCCGCGAGTATGTCTCGGATCGGCGCAGGGCCCCCTCATTGGCGCCTCTGGCCCGCCCCAGGGAGGGGGGTCCAGCACCGATCCAAGAGGCTTGCGCGGACATGCAGCAGTTTACAGAGCAGTGTTTTAATACGTGGGATGTTAATACACATTGGATTTTTACTACATGATTCATGTACTAAATCCCTGCATTTTCACTACATGATCCGCACGCGGATCATGTATTAAAAACGGCACTGTACGTTGATGCTCTTGTTTTTCCCCATATCCAAGGTGGGATCTTAATTTTCTCCAGACCCCCCGCGCAGGAACCCTTCACTCCCTCCGTAAGCCATCATCATCATCATCATCATCATCATCATCATCATCATCATCATCATCATCATCATCATCATCATCATCATCATCATCATCGTCATCGTCATCGTCATCGTCATCATCATCATATCATCAGCATCATCATCATCATCACCATCATTATCACCATCACCGTCATCGTCAATAGCATCTTCATCATCACCACCACCATCATCATCATCATCATCAGCATCATCATCAGCAGCAGCATCACCATCATCATCATCATCAGCAGCAGCATCAGCATCAGCATAATCATCAGCATCAGCATCAGCAGCAGCATTATCATCATCATCACCACCATCATCATCATCATCATCATCATCATCATCATCATCATTATCATCATCATCATCATCAGCATCATCATCATCATCATCATCATCATCATCATCATCATCATCATCACCATGACCATCATCATCATCATCATCATCATCATCATCATCATCACCATCATCATGGCCACAGTCATCAACAGCACAAGCATTAGCATCACCGCTAAACATGTTCAGTCAACTACAATTTGTCTCTTGCACCGGGTGTCTAGAGCTCCGACCAGTTTATTCCGCGACGCCCCCCCTCCCCGCGCCCGCAGCGCCAGAGTGGGACCCCCGCGCCGTGGCTCTCTGCCCCGAGCTCCCCCGCGTCCCCAGCGCCCCAGCGGAGGCCCCGCCCACTGCCCCCTCCGCCACAAACGTTTTATTCCGCGTAGCACCTCCCCCCCCCCGCGTCCCCAGCGCCAGAATGGGATCCCCGCGCCGTGGCTCTCTGCCCCGAGCCCCCCCGCGTCCCCAGCGCCCCAGCGGGAGCCCCGCCCACTGCCCCCTCCGCCACGAACGCTTTATTCCGCGTCGCGCACCCCCCCCCCGCGTCCCCAGCGCCAGATGGGACCCCCGCGCCGTGGCCCCCTGCCCCGAGCCCCCCCAGCGGGAGCCCCGCCCACTGCCCCCTCCGCCACGAACGCTTTATTCCGCGTCGCGACGCACACCACCTCCCCCACCTCCCGTCCCCAGCGCCCCAGTTGGACCCCCGCCCCGTGGCCTTCTGCCCCAAGCCCCGCCCAGGGCCCCCTCCGCCCCGACCATTTATTCCGCGTCGCGACGCACACCACCTCCCCCCCCCCTCCCCGCGCCCCACACGCCCCAATTGGACCTCCGCCCCATGCCCCCTCCGCTCGAGCACTTTATTCCGCGTCGCGACGCACGCCACCTTCCCCCCCCCTCCCCTTAGACGATCTTAAAACGCTGGGGACGTTTTTTTTCCGTTTTGGAGATCGACGTTTTTTTTTTTTTTTTTTTTTTTTTTTTTTCTGTTTTGGGAGCCGTTTTTTTTTTCTGTTTTGGATTTGCGCCTTGCCGTTTTCGGTTCGTTTTGCGATCCGTTGTTTTAATCGTTTTCACCTGCCGTTTTCTTATCGTTTTCACCTGCCGTTTCACCTGGCGCAGACGAACCTCTCAAGGCCCGTGCCGTGTTTTTTTCTGTTTTGGTTCTCCGTTTTGTGTGCGGTTTCGCCAGCCGTTGTTGTTACGTTTTGATCCTGGTCACATCGTTTTGGGCACGTTTTGCGTTACCGTTTTTGTTCTGTTTTGGTCGACCGCAGCGCCAGAAGTTGAAAACGGGAAAAAAAACGCCCCCAGCGTTTTTAAGAACAACTAAGCCCCTCCCCACCTGGGATTTGGGGCCCGCTGCTGGGCCCCGAGGGGCGATGTCTTGCCCCCTCTTCCCCCCTCCTCCTCCACCACCTCCTCCTCCTCCCCCTCCCTTTTTCTGCAAGAATCATGGCGCACGTGCCACTTGGAATCCCCCACATCCTAAGCGGGGTTCTCGTTCCCCACGTCCAAACTACAGATTTCGTGTTCTTTGCGCACCCATCGCGCAGGAGCTCAGTCCCATTGCTCCTCCCTGCCGTTTCACCCACATCCTCACCCGCACTTTCTCACTCACCCATGACTCACTCACCCACTCGCCATCACGCGACGATTCCCCCCATCAGCATCACCGCCACCATCGCCAGCACCACACACGCACTCACGCACGCACTCGCGTCACAAGCACACACATTCACACAGGCACAGACTCACCTCGATGGAAGTCTCGAACGGGAGCCCCCTCTCCAGATGCTTCTTTGCCATCGCAGCGGGTCATCCTCAAACCTTTAACCGTCGTCACGGTTGGGTTTTTTTCAGGCCAGGCTATGGAAGACGTCTCTCACGGGAGCCTCGTCCGTGAGTGTATTGCGAGGAGATATCAGGCGGCAGCGCCCTCCCATGGGACCCGCACTACATTAAGGTGTCATCCTCGAACGTGTAGGTGTCGTCGCGCTTGGGCCCCTCAAATCTGAAAGCGAAGCAAATCCTAAGCGGGAGCCTTGTTCTGCGGGTGAACTGCAGGGACACTTCGGGCGGAAGTCCGTCCGCATGGTTTTCATCCCAGAGGGCCATCCCCAACCTTGTGTTTGTCGTCGCTCGTGGGCTGCACAGGCCTCGAAGTGGATAGAGTCTCGAGCGGGACCCTCGTGCGTGAGCGAGTTGCGAAAAGATCTCAAGCGGGAGCCCCTTCTCTTAAATGGGCCATCCTCAAACTTGTGTTCGTCGTCGCTCGTGAGCTGCACAGGCCTCGACGTGGATGGAGTCTCCAGCGGGACCCCCGTGCGGGAGCGAGCCGCGAAAAAAACATCTCGAGCGGGAGCCCCTTCTCTTAAAAGGGGGCCCGCGCTCGTGGCTTTCAAGTCCACGGGGTCGCCCTCAAACCTGCGTGGGTTCCCCAGGGCAGAAGGTGGAGGGGTCGCCCTCAAACCTGCGTGTGCTCCTCCTTCCCGCTTGTCTTCCGGCTGCCTGGCGTGGCACGAGGCGTCTGGCGATACGCTGCGGGCTTCGAGGCCTTCCAGCTCCGACGGGCGTGCGGTGGCCCCGGATTGCGGTGTCAGACTCGGTTTCGCGCAGGGCCGCCTCGTTCCCCGGAGCTGTCGAGTGGCTGCTGTCAGAGCGGGAGCATCGCCTGTGAGCGAAACCCGAGGAAGTCTCATGCGGGAGCCCTGCCCTAAGGGGCCCGCGCCTCACGTTTTTTTTTCTGTCCTTTTTCCCCAGGGGTCATCCTCAAACTCGCAACCGTCGTCGCTGTTGGTCCCCTTGGCCTGAATTTGGGGGAAACCTACAGCGGGAGCGTCATCTGTGAGTAAATCGCGAGGAAGCCTCGAACGGGAACGTCCCCCCGTGGAGTCCCCACCTCCACGTTCGAGCACGAGCGGGTCATCAGAAATATGTATTTGTCGTCACTTTTGGACTCCCCAGGCCTGGATCTGGAGGAAGTCTCGAACGGGGGCGTCGTCCGTGAGTGAATCGCAAGGAGAGCTCAAGCGGGAACCCCTCCTTACGGGGTCCCGACCTCAATGTTCGAATCGTCCGGATCCTGTACCTGTCGTCACTTCTGGGTTCCTCAAGCCTGAATATGGAGGAAGTCTCTAGCGGGGGCGTCGTCTGTGAGTGAATCGCGAAAAGATCTCGAGCGGGAGCCTATGCCTGTCGGGCCCGCACCTCCATAATCGAGTCCGAGCGGACAATCCGAAGCATGACATTGTCGTCACCTCTAGGGTTTTCGGGCCTGAATCTGGAGAAAATGTCGAACGGGGGCATCGTCCGCGAGTGAATCGCGAGGAAGTCTCGGGGCGGACCGCGACGGGTTAGAGCGTCCAAGATCATCCAAGATGGCTCCAAGAGGGCCTCCAGTGCTCCAAGATGGCCTCCAAGATGGCCGACGCGATGGTTCAAGATAGCTCCAGACATGCTTCCAAGAGGCCCGACGAGGGCCACAAGACTGTTCCAAGTGCCCTCGGAGCCCCCATCAGGACCCCCTCGGAAGCCAACATCAGTCAAACCTGCGCAAGATCAGCGATGTGTGCCTTCTCGCCTTTTCGCCCGCAGTGCGCTCTTGAGGCCTCAAGATGGCCCAAGAGATGCCCAAGAGAAGCCCAAGAAGCAACCCAGACGGCCCCAAGAGCGCCCAACAGCGCCCCAAGAGCGCCCCCAGAGGCGATTAGACGGCCACACTACAACCCCTCCCTTTGGATCGATTGCCTCCAAAAACCCCACGAGGCCCTCCAAGGCTCCCAAGAGACCCCCAAGAGACCCCCAAGAGACCCCCAAGAGACCCCCGAGGGCCCAAAGAGGGCCCTAAAACCCACCGAAAGAGCCTCAAGAGGACCCCAAGATCTCCAACAGATCTCAAGAGGGCTCCGACAGGCGATTTTGAGGGCTCTGTCCTCGTCCTCGTTGTCCTCCTCCTCCATTCCTTCTCCTTATAGATAGCTCCTCCCTGTCGCACCCCGAGGCTGGTCGAAAGGGCGGGTCGGGCGTTTGGCATGAGACTTCCTCACCACTTCTGACCCTGATGCTGAAAACTGACAACCGGTTCACAGATGGGGGCGGGTCGTTGTCAACATGTTGATATCTTCTTAGCGCCGCGCGCATTAGCGCAAACAAACTGCAACGTTTTGCGGGTTGAGGGCGGGTCGTTTTCAACATGTTGCTCTCGCCTTAGCGCCGCGCGTCTTCGTTTCAAACGTCTGCAAACGCTTCACGGATTTAAGGCGGGTGGTTTTCAAAATGTGGCTCTAGTTTCAGCACCGCGCTCATCCGTTTCTAGAAACTACACAAGAGTTTCAAGGGCTGAGGGCGGGCAATGTTCAAACTGTTACTCTCGCTACGCCGCCGCGCACATTCGTTCTAAACATGGGCAAGGGCTTCACGGATTGAGGGCGGCTCGCGTTCAAAGTGTGGCTCTCGTCTAAGCGCCGCGCACATTCGCTTTCCACAGGTTCAACGGAGTGAGGGCGGTTCGCTTTCAATATGTGGCTCTCGCTTTACCGCCGCGCGCATTCGTTTTAAACAACATGTGCATGAGCTTCGCGGGTTGAGGGCAGCTCCTTGTCAGAATGTGGCTTCCGCCTTAGGGCCGCGCATATTAACTTCAAACATTTGTTACATATTCACTCGTTACCATGGCTAACGCACCAGAAGCTGTGCTTTGGAACGATTCAGAGCTGCCAGGGCGCAACAGTGACACAGTTACGATGATTCGCGGCGTTGAAATCCCAGGAATGATGTTCTGGCGCGATCCAGGATCGCCAAGACGTAACAGTCGGGTAAACTCGTGGCGTTAAAATCCCGAGAATAATGGTTTGGGACGCTTCACGATGTTCACACGGTTATGCCCCAACGGAGCGATTCCCTCAGTGGAAATATCACCCTGTAGGGGCCTACGAAAAGGGATCTTGGAGCGAGGGTGTATTTCAATATCGTTGATGAGTCTTGGGTTTAAACTAATCCTCCTCGTCCTCCTCCTCTTCCTCCTCATCCTCCTTCCCTCGTCCCTACACGCTGTACCCAGGAATGGCGCGGAAAGGCACTCCAAGGCCATCCCCATTGCTACCAGAGATCTCTCTGTTCACCCTGGTTGCCCGCTTTGTTTCTCTACATGTGTCGCTTCGTCACTTTCCCCGTCAACTCTCATGGGCAGGCTTTCCGAATGGGCTTGTGGAGATGTTTTTTTGATTCGCGGCCCGCAAGGAAACGTCCAGAGGGCGGTAGGCAGATGATTAACGGCGCAGCACAAGTGCCGGCCAAGAAGCAGCTGAGCATGACTTGTGGAGATGCGCGAAGCGTGAAGAATCATTATTCACATGGATGCTCGAAGCGTGAAGAATCATTATTCACATGGTCCTGCTTGTTATTTGTTATTAGAGGAAGCGTCGATCATTTGATTGAGAAACCTCCCGAAAAGCTGGGCCAGCGTTTCTGAACCAACTTGATGGAACGCTGGCCCGTCGTCTTGAGCACGTTCGCCCCTGCACCGTTGTACAATAACTTGAACTTGCCCCAGGAAGGATTTTCCCGGAAGCTGGCCTATGTGTCTTAGATTGTAACATTCCCGATCGTATTCTAATTTAGAAAATGATAATGTAAGAAACTCGGGCCAGCTTCCTGCAAGTTTCTATAAACGAGCCTGGGACAAATTTTGGGGCTAAGGCTGCAGGAGCGAGCTTATGACACTGGGCCAGATCTATGGCATGTTGGTGAAGAACTGCTGGCCCAGCGCTTCGGGAGGAGGCCTCTGGAGCGACTTTCGTCTTCGTCTTGGGGTAATTATTTTTCTCCTCGCGCTGCCGTCTCCGCGCCCCCACCTTGGCGGGAGGCCGGGAGGAGGCCGGGAGGAGGATCTGCTCCCAGCCTGCTCTACCGCACGCGGAGGAACAGCACCAAGGCCCAGCGCGTGCCGCTGGAGATGTTCGGCGGCGGGCGCGGGGGGGGACGCGGGCAGGAGACGGCGCTCTCGGCAGGCGGTGGGCCTCTCGGCAGCCCTCCGGCCTCCCGACAAGCCTCCCGCGTCTCCAGGGGGAGGCCCAGAGGAAGCTCCTCGGCAGGCCCTCGGGCCCCCCGAGCCTGCCGAGGAGGCCCGCCCCCCCTCTCCCCCCCGGGCTCGCCGCCGAGATGGGCTTGGCCTGGTGCCACACCGCGTTGTCCAGGAAGACCACGTCGCCCGGGCGCATCTGGTTCGGCGGCTGCACTGGGTGCGGTTTGCGAAGGGTGCGGTTTGCCTCCCGTCATATCTGCCCCTCCCGCCCCCGGGAAACGGATGGCACTGTCACTCAATGCGACCGGTTCACATGACACTGTTGCTCCGAGCACAGTGGAGCACACATCGAGGATGACAGCGTCGCTGGAAACGACGACAAAAAAGACACTGTCTCTCACAAAGGCCCCGGACAGGCCGCCGCAAAGCAACTCGCACACCGCACCCCGGCGTAACCGCACCGATTGTAGCCGCCGACTGGTAGACGAGCTCGTGCTGGCCCGCCCGGTCGTCCCACACGTGGAGCGCGCCCCCGACGAAGGGGTCGTCCGTCGGCAGAGCGAGGAGCACAGATCAGCAAGAGGCGGCACAAGCATAGACCCTTGGAGCTCCCCGCGGGTCTCTCGGGCCGGCGCCGGAAGTCGCCCCCCTCCCCCCCCGCCGCCCTTCCCCCCCGCCCCGCTCCCCTCTCGGGGGCCCCGAACGATGTGGTGACCACGCCGCGTGGCGAGTCACCACGCGGTCTGGGGACTCGGGTCTCGTTCTCCCAAGACGGCTCGGGCGACCGGGGCCTCCGAGGTTCCAAGGCCGTGCGGTGACGGACCGCGCGGCGAGGTCTCGTGGGGATCCGAGGTCACCGCGCTGGCCGTCAGCACACGGTTTTGGGACCCCAAACCCCTGCGCGCGGAGCGCGCCAGAGGTGGCGCCAGAGGCGCAAAACCAGCGGTTGCGGGGAGGCGAGGGAGGTCAGGCGCCGTCCCAACAGGCCCGCGCGGACCTCCGAGAATTGATGCTCATGCCGATTTTTGCTCTTCTGGATCACCGATCCGTCAACGTTCGCGCCGTCGATGTGCCTCTTGAGCTGGTCCTCCTCCTGTATGGGACGGTACCGGGTGACGAAAGCGTTCATGACCGAAACCTCAGCGGACGCCAGCGCCCGCCTGCGGCAATGCCACTCGCGGAACTTCTCCACGCAAGCATCCATCACCGGGCCCATGCACCGGACCATCGGGTCGTGAGGCATGATCTTAGGCTTCCAATTCTCCATCACCACCAGGTAGCAAGAGATCCGCCACTTGTCTCCGTACCGCGAGTTGCGGCCGTAGTCCTAGAGCATGAGAAAACACGACAAGAACATATTGTTTCGGAGGTCCGCGCGGATTTCCTCGATCGAGACTGGACCCCCAGCGCTGATCCGAGAAATCGATGCGGACCTCCGAGAGGCTAGGTTTCTGCATTCTTTCTGGAATAGGGTTTCGGTAGAGAGTTCGAACGGAGGTAAGCAAAAACAACAACAACTCCCTTGATCACGAGACCGCCTCCCGAGATCGTTTGGTCTGGCAGCCGTATCGTCAGCGACTTCCTCGAATTGCTCAAGAATCGTACTCTCATTTCAACTACGGCTGCATTTTCGGCCTGGACGGCCTCGATCCCGGGAACTGAGAGCCTACAAAGGTGCACATGGCCGTCCTCGCACGCCTGGCCTGCCTGTCAGCGTTCGTACGAATACATTGGCATACGTAATTCGGAATGCACGTTTTATCAAGCCGACCTCGTAATGCGGGATGACGGTTAATTAAAAAAAAACGGGAGAGAACGATTAAAGAAAAAGTTCCCCGCTATTTCTGCACAAGTTTCTGACCGGAGGAGAACGATTAAAGAAATAGTTTTCCAGCCCCCGGCTGGTTTTTCTAATCGTCATCCCGGGCGCCGCCGCGTGAACACGACCCCTGGTCATTTATTCATCGTCATCCTCCATTACTCCTCAACCCGCCTCTGCACACTTGCTGCTATAAGGGTGCGTTGCGGGGGTCATGCCGTCCGTGATTCTTCTTCGCGGTCCAGCGGCTGCGGCTCGTACGCCTCCTTCATGGCCGGGAAGAGGTCCTCCAGCCAAGCCCGCCCTACCAACTCGCGGACGAACTCGTGCTTCCAGAGGGGGCCTGCGCCAACCGCAGCGTCGAGGAGCTCCAGCAGCTTGTGCGCATTCGTGATCACGGCCCCCTCGGGGTCACCGTGGCCCTCGTCCGCCTCCACGCCCTTCTTGCGGAGGTACGAGGCGAGCCCCTTGGCGCTGAACTGGTCGTTCGTCTTGTTGCTGACCACATACCTCCGGTCAGGAACTTTCAGCCTGGCGTGTCGCGGGCCGCGACACGCTGGGCAGAACAGCTATGCTTCAATGTCCGATTGTTGGGCCTCGCGCCGAAGGCGCGCCCGCGGGCCTGCGCTTCCGAAACCTGCATTTTGAGGGCCCGCCTCCCCCTTGCATCCCCGACCCTCAACGTCGCGGCGGCGGGCCCTGCGAGGCGCTGTGCCTCGCACGCTGATGTCGTAGCGTGTCGCTCTGCTTCGTGGGGCGGGAAGCGGGCAGAAGCTCGGGATTTTGATGCACGGGGACTGGGGCGTGCTCAGCGTGTTGCGCTGTGCCGAAGCGTGATGGGCCAGCGCCGGCGGCGCGACACGCCAAGAAGCGTTCCTGCTCCAGAGATCCGGCGTCTCTGCAATCAGCGCGCTACCAGAATAACCACTGAAAAAGGAAAGAAGAGGCTTTCCTGGCCACGGCAAACCTCGACAGAATAGGTTCCCCGACCTGGATGAAAAGGAGAGGCAAGAAACCCAGAGCCCGTCCTGAGCCCAGAGTGGTCCTTGCTTCGGGGGCTTGACTTCAAATCCCTTCCCCAAGGGCATGCTTCTTATTGTATTATGTGCAGCTTGCTTTGAGCAGGGACCGACGGTCCCGGCATTCTTAACCGACATGTTCTTAGAACTCAAGAATGTTCTCAGAACATAAACAAGGTTCTTAGAACATACGCCCGATGTGTTAAAACGAGACAGTCTCAGCCAGAAATGTTCTGAGAACATTTCGTGCAGACCACCACCAACTCTTAGAACATTCTTTCGTAATTAGGCCGATCGGCGAGCTAGGACGCTTCAGCATTGCCTGATTGCTCCGAGGGCCCCGGAACCCGCGGCGGGCCTTCCACAGAGGCACCCGGAGGCCGGAGGCGTGGACTCGCCGGCCGCGATGCCGCCCGCGATCGCCAGTTCAGTGCACTCCGAGCCCCCGCCCGAAGGCCCGCGGCGGCCCCCCACGCGCACCCCCTGGGCGCTCCTGCCCGCTCCCCTGCCCCGCCCCCCGCCCCCCCCCCCCGCGCGGTCTCCCCCTCCCCCCCCGCCCTGCGCACGTGAGCTGCGCAGGTTCTGGGCAGCATCCCATTGATCCCTACCCGCTGACGGGGCCTTGGCTGGCCCCACTGGCCGACCTACCCACCCAGGTGGGGATCTAGGCTGGTTCCTTCGGGTTTCGCGGTGCCCATCGTCCCCGCCTGGGGAGGTGGGCGTGTGCGGCCCTGCCATGGCCCCATGGGGAAGGAGGACAGTTAGCCTACAGATGATGCTGGGGTGCACGTCTTCCTGACATGGCTGGGGCTGCTGCGAGCTGCTCTGGCAGGATCTGAGGCCCAGCGCACGCCACTTGTGGAACATGACGGACGGCCAGGGGGGAAGCTGCCCGGGGGAAGCGAGGCCGCCCGCGGGGCGAAAGGGACCGACTGGGCGACGGCGGCCGCAGAGGCGAGGACGCCCGCGGGGCCACACCCAGACATCCGACGTCTTGAGTTTCTCAACGCGGACCCCCCGGAGGTCTGGACCCTTTCCCCGAGGCGGGGGCGTCGTCCCGAGCAATTGTCTGACAGCCCCAGGTGCCCGCCGATGGCCCCCTGGGGACAATACCGGGGACAAACCTCCGTCAGAGAACAACTCTTGGAAGCTTTTGGCCGCCCAAATGACCACACGGCGCCCAGTAGCGTGCCAATAACGCCCACAATGCGCCATTGGTGCGCCAGCTGGGCGCCACTGCGCACTATTGGACGCCATTCTCCGATACACTCTCAATACAGGACGACGGGATGCTTGCGTAACTACCTGACCTCCATCTTCTTGCCATCAAACCTGCCGTCCCTGCACGGGAATGGGTCGACACCTCCAGGGGTCCACGTATTGAGTTAATCAAAACGTCGCCGATGCATTGGCGACGTCGGCGTGGCGAAAATCGCACTCCACATCGAGCCGCATCGTCGATGCATCGGTAATGCGGCGCGACCTCCGGACCCCATCTACTTCGACCCTACCTGGGAGGCCAACAATTTGATACGAAATGATTGAAAATTAATGCCGCGCCCGCGTCGGGACCGCATTCCTGGCGGCTCCTGGCGCATTACTGTCTGCCTTCACCTTCCCAAATCCTACACGGTTGCGTGCTTGTTTGTTGCGAACTTGTGATCTGGCATGCTTGCACGTTTCCTTGTCCAGCGCATGCGCTCGGGTGATTCGCTCTATGCAAACACGTGGTTGCGCAAAATTGCGGGGGGCCTTGCCGTAAGGCCGCATGAGACTCGCGTACATGCTCGGCTTCGAGGGTTTCGTGGCATTGTGAGACGGCGCGAGGCTCGCCAGTGTACTCGGCGCCGAGGTATTTGTGGCACTGTGAAATGCTGTGAGACGCGCGGATATGCTTGGCGCCGAGGCTTTCGTGGCACTGTGAGATCCTGTGGCACTAGTCGTTGTTCTCGGCGCCGCAGATTCCGTAGCACCTTGAAGCCTATTTTGAGGGCGCTTGAGACCGCTGCCAGGACTCATATGGCGTATGTATTCAGACCCTGTGCGCAACGTTTAACACCCATCTGGCACCCTCTCATTAGAATGCTAATTCAGAAGTCGGAGAGTCTCAAGGTGGTTCGAGCACGGTGGGGCCGTCGCCCAGGCGCGCCAACCGTCGAAGAACTGTTGCAAACAAATTGGCCCACGTCGGCCCTGCGTGCCCGCAGTGCCCGATGCCACTGCGTGTGGCTGTCTCGGACATGATACGTATGCGAGTATGCGAATGCCACCTTATGAAAATGCACCTTCCGAAACTGCTGCACGCCTGTACTTCTAACCTACAGCCAACTGTACAATCAAGAAAACCCTTAGTTTACGAGATCTAGGCCAGCTTCCTGGAAATTTCTTGACATGGGTCTGGGCCAATTTCTGCCGTTCACGCTGGCGGGGCGAGCGTGCTCAGGACACCGGGCCAGCGTCCCAGCAAATGCCTCAAGAAACGCTGGCTCAGCTTTTCGGGAGGAGGTGTCTTAATTACATGCTGCTCGACTGTATGTTCGCAGGCTGTAGATGCGACGCGGTAATTTATCCATATCCACCGCCTGGGAACCGACGTCATGGTGCCCCAGCGGGCGGTGGATATGGATATAGTTCGGCCCCTGGGTGCCCGAGTATGCCCATATTCACCGCCTGCCGAGGCTCCGACAACTGGCCGTCCAGGCGGTGGTCATGTTTTTTTTGCACCTCGTTCGCCCGTCTAGGAGGCTTTAGCGTGCTTGGCGTAGCCACTGTCATCAAGGCAAGCTCCTGCCTCGAAGCGCACAGCACTGCGGCCGCAAGGCACACTCGAGAGCGAAGCCGAGCTTACACCCTCTGCGGCGAACTCGGGCCCCTCTCGCCATCACGCTGAAGATCTCTTCGAAAACAGCCCGCCTCGGAGAAGAGCCGCCGTGCTTTTCCCCCATCTCCTGAGATGGGGCCTGGCCATGGCCCCCACATGGCGCAGGCGGCCCCGAGACCTGCCGTCGCGGTTTTGTTGGCTCCGCCTGGACGCGCGGGCGCGCGGCTGGGAGCACTGCCTGCGGGGCTTCTGCGGGAGCCTCCGCAAGGAAGGCGCCCCGCGACCTGGGCTGTTTTTGTTTGCCCCTTAGGAGCTCTCTAGTGGCACGCGGGTTCCCTGGGCCACGGACGGTGCGCGGTCTACACGCTTCCCGCGGCAGCTGGCCCATGCCAGAAGCCGAGCGGCGGAGGAGGCCACGAGAAGGCGCGAACCCCGCGACCTGGGCTGAGGCGGCTCCGCGCTCGAGCTCGCGCCAGGCGCTCCACCGCCGGAGAGGGAAGAGAGCACGGGGACCATGACCAAGGCTGCACGCGGAGAAGCCTCGTGCCGATCCTGGTCACCGTCCATCTTGCTCAGCGTCGCTTCGCGGATCACCCTCGCGAGTCGGCGACGGCTGGCACGGGCCACGACCAAGAGATCGGCAACGACGAGATCCGACGACATCTCGGCCGCGGCCCCCGGTGCTTCCACTTCCCTCGAGGGCGGGCGACGGTGGCAGGGAGGGCGACGCGGCAGCGTCGGGGGGGGGAGGTGGAGGAGCTGGCGGACAGGCTCGTGCCGCGCGCCGACGAGGGACCTCCACGCGCGAGTGCCTGGACGCCGCGCTGCGCGAGAGCGGCGCGAAGGCACCCGCGGGCGCGCCTCCCGGGGCAGACCGAAGGCACCTGCCGGACCGCCCCGGGAGGGGGCGCGGAGGCCCTTCCCCCGCCCGCCCCGCGGCGGCGGGGGCACTTTTTTTTACCTGCGCGAGAGGGTCGCCCCGTGGCTTTGGAAGACAGAGGAGAGAGCAGCGGGGGAGGGGAGGAGAAGAAGAGGAGCAGGCGCAGCCAAAGCAGCAGCGCGGCGGCGGGGGCACATCACGGCCTTCGACCTCGCGGCCACCTCCCGGAGCAGGGCGCCCGGGTCCGCGCTCCTCGCGGCGGAGGCGGGGATGGGGAGGGGTGGGCTGCACCGCGCCCAGGGGGGGGGGGCCCATATGGACCCCCGACGCCCCGAGGAGCTCCGGGCGGAGGCGCGATCCCCGCCTGGGGGCCTCCAGGGGCTCAGGGCAGGGGCCCTCGGCGGGCCCGGCGGGGCTGTCGGAGGACTGCCCTCGCGAGAGGGACGAACCGGCCCCAGGGGGAAAGAGGGGCGCGCGGACCTCCGAGGAGGGGCCCCTGGCCGAGAAGCCCAGAGGCGATCGGGTGTCCAGGGGGGCCGGGGGCGGGCGTCACGGTAGCATTAAGTCGGCGGTGTCCCCCTACAGGGGGATTTTCGACGAAAAATAAGACATGCCCCACAAAGAATCCCAAAATGATCCAAACATAGTCGGAAGACTATGTTTGGAATTTTTGTTTGCCCTTTTGGGGGTATTTTGGTGTATTTTTCAGTCTTCGTCGAAAATCCCCCTGTATGGGGGACACGCCCGACATAACAGCAGCACGCTGCGGTCGGACACCGAGGCCAGAAGA